CTATCTAATGCTCAATTTATTCGAAATTATCAAATTGAACCATGGTAATGATACCTACGAAATCCTGATCTTTGATTTATCATCTGTAGTACAAAACCGAAGGTTATTTATATATCCACATACGTAAACTAGTACTATTATCTTGCTATTAAAAAATCGGAAAACTAATAACTAAATGATCATCTCTTTTTCGATACTTAATTACACATTAAGCTGACTTCATAATAATAGAGATTAGTTTTATTTCATCACATAAAAGACATTTTAACTTGGTTGAATATCTGTCAAAAATATCAACTATGCGATAATCCAGACCATTTCAAATTGAATTAAATTTCATAGCCACTGGACAGGCAAGTGGTTACTTGAACTCGGTAGCTAAGTGGATAACGCGATGAAGTTTGATACAAACAGTATTGAACTTGAGTCTCGGAGTGAGACTCAACTCCAGGATGCAAGTACATCCAGCTAATAAGTCCCAAATAGAATGAAACGCGCGTCCTGGATCCTACTGCTAAACACATTCCATCTATACTCTATTAACCTGTGTTATAATGGCTATATTAAGGCGATCCGCACAAGATGCTTATATACCAACCAAAGATGATTAAATTTAAGCCGAATATATCAACTACGGAATTATTTAAGCCATTTCATATCGAATAAACTTTTCACTTGATGCTTTTTTATGATCGACACTGAATGTAATTTGTAAAAATGAACATATGTTTCTCATTCTGACTTACATTTTTAATTAGTAATCGTCTAATTTTTGAACGTTGTTTAACAATAAGCCATATTGATGTATGCCGACCAGATTCATCTTTTTCTTCCAATAAGGCCGAATATAGGTATGGTGAAATAAACTCATTTGCATTTTTAAAAATATCGGGATTAAATTGAAGCTCAATAAGATCAGATTGGGATGTATCTGACTGTCATAGGTATAAAATCATAAAAAATAAGTGATTATTTCTTAATGAAATCTTTAGAAGGCATTCTTAAAAAACATTATTGGTGAGACGATAATGTGTGGGTGAACTTTAAGGAACGCTAGAGTGACCTTGAGAATTTCTATATTATAACTGATAGCCAGTAGTTATATCTGGTAGTCTCTAATTGGGTTCACTTATTACTTATACTTGTAAAACGAGGTACCACTGCAATCCCAACAAAGTGAAGTAAGAACGACAAGACTGGTACAAGTGAAGGTTTATTAAACCCAAAACACGACGACCCTAGTCGAAAATACACTCATTTATATATTGATTTGTACACCCATTTTAATTAATAATTAGGATAAAATCACGTGTATGAAAGATACCCAGAGTTATAACAAATCACAAGCTCAGTGTCATGCTGAGCATAGTTCGTTTTAATTTGATACAAGAATATCGTATATTGAATAAAACATCACACTCAAACAAATTAATGTTACACCTAATAGAATATAACACTGGTAAACAAACACAAATCCTACACTGAGTAATTATCATATCGAAGTAATGTTGAACAAAAAAGTCACATTGAGTATAGGAATGTAATGTTGTTTTTTCATCCCGCCATATTAGTCTATCTACTTACTAAGACCAAATCAGAGTTATAAACCAGTGTGAGGAATTAGAATTATCATTTACACTTGATGGTTAGGATTAGGAGTTAGATTTAGGGTTATCATCACGAAGTGATATTAGCTAAAATGCCAAAACGCTATTTAGCCAAATGGATGAATGAATTTTGTTCCAAAATCCAAGACTTGTTATCCTAAATCTCATTGGTTCGTCCATAAATTATAGACTCACCGTCTATAATACACTAGAAAGAATTAGTTTAACTTACGCTTAAAAGACAAAATAATAATGGCTTTGTTTAGTACTATATGAATCCTGTAAATACAGTCACAATATCGACTAAAAGCAGAAAATTAAGGTTATGTATAATTTAGATTCATATACTAATGTCTATGTGGAAACGTGTAAAAGAAAATGAATACTGAAATACTCTTTTCAGGAAAGCATATAGTACTAGTCCAGCCATTTACCTCTTTCCTAATCGAAACAAAAATATATGTTTCATTTGTATATCCTCTTTCTGTGATCAACCACCATTTTAAAACAAAATTTGTGTTGTTCAGCCGCCTATATTGGATTACGGTACTGTATTACTGTTTCCAAAATAATTATTATGGTAACTAGCTAAAAACTAACATAATAGTGAGTTTTTATTCTACTTTTTGGAGGAAACCTAATGATATATAACTGGTGATCAAAGTGTTCACAATGGAGATGGATACATCGTTGTATGTGTTAAGTCGGCTTTCCGAGAACTGCAACGGAGCCTCGAGAGGCCGTAAACGAGCCGAAGAGTCCTGGCCAATCAGAGCATGATGGAGCTTTCTAGAATATCAACGTGGCGCGCTACTATTGGTCAGTAGCATAATATGTCTTTTAGCGGATTGGCCAAAATATGATGTTGATTTAACAAATGTTAACATCTATAAATACCCGTGTTTTTCTGTACAAAAATAAACCTTTGGAGTAAAGTGTTTTTCCTTCATTTTGCGCCTTTCCTCTCGAGTTCATGTCGCTGCGTAGTTCTAGCTTGCAGGTTACCAGAATAGCTTCGGAACCTAATAAAGCGTTCAAATTAACAAGACTTATCAGTATGTAACATACATGTTTTACCAAAACAAAAAAATCTACTCACCGATCGAAAATGGTTGATTTTCTTTGGTTCTAAGACAGACACTCCATGTCGTTTACCATAAAGTATGATACGATTATGATAACAAATACAATTTACTGAAAATGAATAAAGCTATGAGATAATTAAGTGTGTGAAAAATAAAATCATTCTAGTAATAACTGAATTTATGTGACTCAAAACATTCAACTTAGTCCTTTTTTTTGATTGAGATCATGGATCAATTGATGTTAAACCACCATCGAAAATCTGGAAGCACTGAATGGCCGTTTCGACCTAGTATGGGACTCCCGAGCAGCGCGTATCCACGATTTCGCACTCGGGACTCAAACCCAGGACCTTTGGTCTCGCGCGAACGCTTAATCACTAGACCACTGAGCCGGCATCTAACGGTGTTAGTGTCTAACTTTAACGGAATATATGTTACGTGTAGTTTCTAAAACTGCAAATATTTTAAGTAGAATTAATGAGGAAAACTGTTGGTGTTTCGAGTTGATTTTGTTAACACTGACTGATAATCGATAAACGAAATAGATGAATGGATAATATCTTAGTATCTGCTAAACGATAAAATGTAATTTAAGAATAATCAGATAGGCTATAATTAACTTAAAGAATGATAAAGACATACTTTGAAAAGCGTATTCCTTATTTTTGAATTACAACAGGATAACTGAATACAAAATTAAAGTTACAATCTTTTTAAAAGTAGATGAGTTTATACCTGTGATCCTGCTTGAGACATATACGATACGCATTTCTCTTAATGATTTAACTCATATAAGTTCTGAGTAAGCTTTACTTTTCCGTCTGGGTACCATGTATTACTCTATCATTTATTCATATCCATAGCGTAAAACTCTAGTCTTGAAATGGGGAGTTTCACAAAAGCTTAATTAATATGTCCCATACATTTCTATCACATCATGAATTATGAATTTTGGTTCATTTTTACTAAATAAATCAATAGCAATAGCAGTAAATAAATAAAAGATCATTTCCATGCACCCGGTGATAGAAGTCACCATCTACTGTAGTTTAAAATTTCAGAGGTTCTTAGCTTTTAGGATAATGATTCTGTTCTTAATATTTTTGACTTAGGGACTATTGTTTATATCATACTGTTCATGAAATAACCTGCTCAGATATGAAACTATTCACTGATTTTAGAAGTCCCTTAATTATTAATAGGTCATAGTTTATTACATTAACTTTGAAGGCGAATTTCGTGTTGAATTATGATAAGCTGTTTATATTTTCCTAAATTTGTTAGCCTATAATGCGTCATACACAAAGCTAAGTTTTGTAAGCTACATTTAAATTTTTTTATTTGATAAGTAGGCTGCTTCATAATCCAATCGTTTCTTGGCTTGAAGTTGGATTTTCGAAATTATAGTTGATTATGAGCCCTCATAAAAAAGCCCCTTTAAACCTACATCTGTAGATCGAAAAAGCACAGCTAACAGAACACTTCGATAGTGTGCTCACAGTTTCTGGGTACGGAAAACCCACCTTGGGAAGTTTTAAAATCCCGATTCCAAACCAGTGGTGCACATGGATTCCATGATTCTGAAGGAATAAACGGCGTATGAACCCGTTCTTGATCACCAGCTACCATGGGACCTCATATATTAACGTCGCTTCAATGTTCTGTAAATTAAACCTCTAAGTCAAAGGCTCCGAGAGTGGCCCTCCAAGAAAACCAATGGTTTTGATATGAACAACCGGGCAACATCCCAGTACACACACAAACTGAATAATAATTACTTTGTGTAGAGCATATATATATTGCCTCCCCTTTGTAACAATGTTTATATGTTTAAATAAATTAATAAACACTCCCTGAATATACTAATAGACATCAGAATGTGGAGAAATTTCTCTTTAGTGTTTATTTAAAATTTCATATAAGTTAATTTAGTTAGTACTTACTCAATGACAGACACATATTCCCAACTGGAATAGTAACAATTTCCAACTCTCCATTTAATAAACACTTTTCTATACCATCAATTTCTTTTTCAATAAGTTTGAGAAATTCTTCAATGGGCTATAGAATATATTCCATGCAATACATTATAAAAATAAGTATTGAAATCAACAATGAAAAACCTTTTTAAGTATATTGTAACCATCTTAATGAAAACAACCATTTACTTACTTACTTACGCCTGTTACTCCTCGTGAGGAAGCATAGGCCGCTCACCAGCATTCTCCATCCAACCCTGTCCTGGGCAATCCTTTCTACATCCGTCCAGTTGTAATTCATCGTTTTCATATCTGTTTCTATTATCCGACGCAATGTGTTATTTGGCCTTCCTCTTTTTCGCTTCCCTTCAGGATTCCAAGTTAGGGCTTGCCTCGTGATGCAGTTTGACGATTTGCGTAATGTATGGCCTATCCATTTCCATCGTCTTTACCTAATTTCTTCTTCAGCTGGAAGTTGGTTTGTTCTCTCCCACAGAAGGCTATTGCTGATGGTATCCGGCCAATGGATGTTGAGTATCTTGCGTAGACAGCTATTTATAAATAATTGTACCTTTTTGATGATGGTTGCAGTAGTTCTCCAAGTTTCAGCTCCGTACAGTAGAACTGCCTTGACGTTCGTATTGAAGATTCTGACTTCGATATTGGTTGGCAGTTGTTTTGAGTTCCATATATTCTTCAATAGTAGGAATGCTGTCCTTGCTTTGCCAATCCTCGCATTTACGTCTGCATCTGAGCCTCCTTGTCCATCGACGACGCTTCCTAGGTATTTGAAGGACTCTACATCTTCCAGAGTTTCGCCATCAAGAGTGATTGGATTGCTGTTCTCCGCTTTGAATTTGAGAACCTTGGTTTTCCCCTTGTGTATACTGAGGCCTACTGATGCAGAGACTGCTGCTACACTGGCTGTCTTTATCTGCATCTGTTCGTGTGTACGTGATAGGAGGGCTAGATCATCTGCAAAGTCCAAATCGTCTAATTGATTCTAAGCTGTCCATTGTATTCCGTGTTTTCCCTCAGATGTCGAGGTTTTCATAATCCAGTCGACCACCAGAAGAAAGAGAAAGGGAGAGAGTAAACAGTCTTGTCTGACTCCGGTCCTTACTTGGAATGCATCTGTCAGCTGTCCTTCATGCACTACTTTGCACTGTAGTCCGTCGTATGAGTCCCAGATAATGTTGACATTCTTCTCAGGAACTCCGTAGTGTCGAAGAAGTTTCCATAACGTTCTCCTATCTACACTGTCAAATGCCTTTTCATAATCAATGAAGTTGATGTATAGTGACGAGTTCCACTCAACTGATTGTTCGACGATGATCCGTAGTGTCACAATTTGGTCCGTGTACGACCGGTCCTTACGAAATCCAGCTTGTTGATCTCGAAGTTGGGCGTCTACTGCATCCTTCATCCGGTTCAGCATAACTCTGTTAAAGACTTTCCCTGGTATTGACAGTAGTGTAATGCCTCTGTAGTTTTCACATTTGCTCAGATCTCCTTTCTTTGGAATCTTGACGAGGTGTTCTTCTTTCCAGTCCAGAAAACAACCATTTAACATGACGATAATGATAATAAATTTAGAAATGAATAATTCAAACAGTTTTCGTTTAATCACTATAGCAAGAGTTTTTTTTTTGTATAAATTAGAAACTATTTTATCATTCAATATCTTTGGTATTATGTCCAAACTCATTGGTTACATTTATAACAGAGCGATATCGTCCATTTAACTGTGTAATCAATTTCTTCACTGGATATGATTAATATAAAATAAACAATTAGAATTCATTCAAAATGTAAGTAGTTGTAAAATTCTAATTAGGTTTACTTATTATCAATGTATAAATGTTATTGACAAAAACATTCATAATTTTCTTCAGTAATATAGCTTTATTCTATTGAATAATAGTTGTATATAAGTATATAAGTCTACATATGTAACTGTGTAAAACTATACACCATTATGGTGTCAAAGGGTTATCTGTCTGTCTATCTCAGTAGAGTCAAATTTGTATACGTATCTGTATGACCCAACTATATAGTGTGACAATAGCCAGTAGCATCGGAAAGTTTTTTTATCCTACTTAAGGACTACTTGACAGTCCATAATCGCACAATATTCTTGAACTATTAAGTTAGAATCTTGTGGTTTGTAAACCTAAATTTGACCAATTTACTTTGCGGTGAAACCATTGAACTGAAACTTAGTAGACTAATTTTACCTTGTTTCATGAAAGACTTAAATGCTCAAGATTTGATCTTGTTTAGAGTAGTGGATGTGAACCAATGTTTGGTCCTAAAAAAGAAGAAACAATCATCTAATGCCTTTTAATTCCAGTTCATAATAAAAACTAATTTGAAACAGAATAACCCTATAAAATCATAATTCTGACAGTGCCAAGTTTTGCATCCAACCACGGGATATCCTTTTACACTCTAGTCATCGTGAACATTTAAGGTTCCTGTTGATATCTCGTAACTTGACAATGATTATCAATGCAAGTAAGAACGATGTTCACACTTACTGTCAGTTCATAGCTGAGTTGCCTCTATTGCTAGGTGTCAGTTACCTTTAGACATTCCAAATTAAGTAGTCTTACATGAATACATTGAATCATGAATGCAACTTCATAAGAATTTAAATATATTTTAAATGTTGAAGCATATATTAAAGACTAACAAAAGCATTGAGAACATCAAGAGCATTCTGAATCGTATATTCCCCTTATAAGTTGCAGTATATCCTATAAAAGAACAAACTATAGCACAAATATTGTTCCAAATAAGACTTTTTAAAACTTACTGTCCAGTAACATATATAGGGTATATTTTCAGTGAGATTGATCACATTTCGACTAATAAGAACTGTAAAATGAAAAAATAAACATTTACTATTTGTATGAAATTTCATTTGCTTGACTTGTATAATTATTTGGATGTGTTAAATATTACTTCAACCGAAAGCTTATGCACATAAGGAGTCCTCAATTGATTCGATAACTAAGTAATCATATTGATGGGATCACTAAATAAGTAATTCTCTAAACTCTAAATTGGTTAAATTAATTAGAGCGTTTAAATAAAGCAGCGCCTTTGGATTTAGAAATAGCGCTGTTTAGAAAAAGAATATTGGTTCTATATAGGTACCCATTTCGAATACACTAAACAAATTCAAATGGTGTGTCAGTCTTCATTAATGTTTCATTATTCTAAAAATATTCACTGAAGTTTTTTCGAAAGACTAAGAGAAATTATGTGCACAATTACGTGATAATGAAAATGTTATGATGGGAGCTAGTCGAAATGGGTTACCTACAAGGTTTTGAAAGACGCATATACATATCGGGAACAAAAAGGTATAGAGATAGATGCTTTTCAAGAAACCTTAATTCCTGAATCTACAATGCAACTGATATATAGCTAGAGTTATCTTACATGGCAATATAGCTAGAACTATCAAGAAGAGATTTTATGTAGTGAGTCTTTATTTGTTATTTTCTCATCGACTAATAGTCATTAATAAAACAAGAAATAAGTTACCTGCTCTTTACGCTTCGATGTTTATTTACCGATGTAGCTATTTCTGTGGCGGAATCTACATCGAGCTTATGACCATATTTTCTAGTCAGAAGGTTGACCAGTAACTACTTTTTAATTCGGAAAGGTTCTAAAATTTCAGTACACAGCTCACACATTGTTGTAAATAACTATGTGATAGATAAGAAAAACGTGAAAAGTGATTCCTTGTACATCTTCCAATTTTCCCAACTTGAAATGAAACACCAAGACCTTGCAAAATTTGGGAAAACACGTTATTGACAGGGTTAAAATACTAGTTTGACAATGAGTACATGACTGAATCCTGGATAGTTAGTCTATTGAAACAAAAGTAAATGATGATGTATTTGAAACCCAATATTTAGAAAGTGCTAAACAATGTAGGTTGTGGTGTAGATTTGCTACACATTGGATACATTCAGTAGGAAGAAATTGATTAGATGGAAAAACAGCTCAAACTAATGTAAGCATCGATGACAGTTAACAAATAAACATAAAGAAATTAGTTAGGATATCACAAATGAAAGCGATAAATAAGAAGTATAAAATAATATTGAAACCCGACATTTAGCGGAACGTGAAATGAACACATCTGTTCGTTTGTGGTGGATTTCGAACAAAACCATATGACATCTACAGCCCTGAATTGAGATAATAAAAGTAGATGCCAACTAGAAAGTTCGCATCTGAAGTGATTACGTGTTTTAGATAGCAACCCTTAGCCAACTTCTAACCTCTCAACATGACAGCTAACATTGCATATAGTGTGATAGTTAATTTAATTTAGTAACAGGTTATTACTCACTGGTATTTAACTTGAGTGATGAAATAAGTAGTGTGTCTTTAAATCCCATGCTACCGACTGTCTGACCATCTTCATCTTGAATGTCATATATTCGCACCAAAAGTGTTATCAAGTGTACAGCTTCACTGCGCTTCCCATGAACGTATTCAAATCTATATTGTAAGCAAACATAGCAATGAAATATTACAAGAACTGGTAAATGAAAATTCTGACAGTAGCTGTTCTAGGGCTACTGCCGGTCCAAAGCCCATACACAGGAAGAGAGTTAGGCATAGGTTCAGCAACTCGATTCCGTAGGAAAAAACTTTGCTTAAAAGACTCTAACCGGAATAAATCATTTAAACCATTTAAACTCTGTCCTCTGAGTTGGAGGATCTTCATTCAGGAGAGTTTTGACGCCTCATGGTGAGAGTCAAGATTCTGCAGATGTTATGAGGTCGATGCATCTCCTAACAACCAGAGCAACAAATAATATAGGTACATGGAACGCTTGAACAATATGGGAGGCCGGGGGATCAGTCAACTAGTTACGCGAATGAGGAGATACAACTTGGCGGTTCTCGAAATCAACGAAACCCGTTGGATTCAAGCTGGACAGCAAAGGCTAGATACGGGATATATGCTGCTGTACTCTGGTCATGAAGAAGAAAATGCTCCACATACTCACGGAGTTGCTCTGATGCTGTCTAAACAATCACGTGATGAACTTATAAGATGGAAATCTCATGGATCCAGGATCACTTAAGCAACTTTCAAAACAAGGAATGAAGAAATCAAGATGAATATTACCTGGTGTTATGTACCCACCAATCATAGCAACGACGACGATGAAGATTGGTTGCATGAGAGGCTGTAATCAATCACAGCGAAGTATATAGGAAAAGACCTGACAATCCTGATGGGAGATCAAAACACCGAAGTCGGAATGGACAACACAAGGCATGAAGATATCATGAGACAAAATGTAGTGGAAAAAATGAACTAGAATGATGACAGATTTACGAATCTTTGAGCCTGCAACAAAATGGTTATAAGCAGTGCAAACGGATAAAAAATCTACATGGGTCTCATCGTACCACATTACAGATAACCAAATTGATCATATTTGCATCACTAAGAATTCAGAAGGTTAATCGAGAACGTTAGAACCAGTAGAGTAGTTTGAATAACCTCAGATCACCACCTAGTGGTTGGCAAGATGAGATTGAACCTAAAGAAGCACTAGATTGCTGCGAAAACAACATTACAAAGGTTCAATACAGCCTTTCCTCGGTATACTGATAAGCTCAACGGATTGAAGTTAGCTCTCAGTAACAATTTGGAAGTCTTAAAAGATATACTCAAAGAAGGGAAAACTACTATGGAAAACAACTGGAAAAGGACCAAAGAAGCATTAATTTCAACGTATCAGAAGGTTGTGGGTCGAAAGAAGCATCATCATAAAGAACAGTTCTATTGTACGGAGCTGGAATTTGGAGAACTACCACAACCATCATCGAAAAAGTATAAGTAGTTATAAACACTTGCTTATACAAGATACTCAATTTCCGTTGGACGGATGCTATCAGTAGTAAGCTACTGTGGGAGAGAACAATCCAAATTTCAGATGAAGAGAAAATTAGGAAAGGACAATGGAGGTGGATAGGATACATATTATGGAAATCATCGGACAGTATCATGAGGCAAGCTTTAACTTGTAATCCTTAAGGTCAAAGGAAAAGAGGAAAAGCAAAGTACGCATTGCGTCAGGAATGGGAAGCAGACGTGAAAAGAATGAATAGCAACTGGAAACAACTAGAAAGGATTGCGCAGGACAGAACGCTATGGAGAATGCTGGTGGGCGGTTTATGCTTCTCCACGAGAGGTAA